CATGGCCAGCGGAAAAGGGCGGACACCAGCAGTGACAGACCTCAGAGACAAATGAATAGAAATGCTACGGCTAGCGGACACCAGCATTGACACAAAGGGCGGACACATCTTAAGAAAGAATTGAGAACCCCTAACAGTGAACTGTTTGGGGAAATATACATAAAGGAATTGGAGAGCCTTCACAAGCTTCTCCGGCTCAGTGCCATGCCTGGGAAGCTGTCATAAAGTGAGACAGCCTGACTGACCCGTCGGTTTGAGCCTTCAAATATGTTCATCAAAAATTCATAGCTTCTTGTTACTAATAGCGATGCACTTGTCACTACTAGCGATGCCCCTGCTACTAGTAGCTTCAAAACACCTTCAACAAGATTGAACAAGATGCGCAATCTTCACTTCAGAATTTCTGTTTCGAAAGCCTGTTGCAACAGTCCACTGCAACCAGAGGTGCACTCCAACTGCAATTGCCAGCTGCTGCACCTTGTTGTACTGGACGAGAAGGAAGTTTTGGGCTTCAACTCGCAATAGTAAAAATTGCATGTTTAATCAATCTTGATCTCAACGAGTTTGCGAGTACACCCGCATTCATCTTGTGAGGAAAGCGACATCAATCAACATATCCATGCGACCACGCTACTCCCGCAAATGCAGCAGGAAGACTGGAGGCATTGGTGACATCACCGACAAAAATGCCTTCACTTTCGTCCTCAGACTGAAAAGTAGCTTTCGCACATAGTCGGCAATCCAGGCTCCCTCAAAATCCTCAAATGAATTCTAATCAATAGTCCGCTTCAACTTCACTAATCTTCAGCATATAGTTTCATACCATAGTCAGTTGTCTGCAACTTCAGGTTATGGATGGGTGTGTTTTGAGATAAACGCTCTAACACGAATGCACATCACGACACGGATACAACAAGAACGAATAAGAGGTTGGGGTAAGATGGAAAGGAGACACAGTAAGTGGGGAGACAGAGCACAAGAGACACATCTAAAATCATCTAAAATCTATACCTATCTATAGCTACACCTTCACCTCTAGGGCAAGCCAAGCCACGCAGGCGGAGCAGCCCAATCGTTCCCGTGCCTGCAAGGTAGATCTTCACTTTGCCCTACTGAGAGCGCTTTTGGTTCGAAGGAAAACGTTACTGTGCAGCAAAGAATGAGTTTCTTCGTGCGACTAACAAACAAAGGATATCAGAAGAACCCATTGACTTAACAAGACTTCCAGGACAAACACATCCAATCTCGACCTCTGTGAGGTTGCGCACAAGCGCTCTCACAGGACTGGACCCATACTCCTGCAAAGTTTGGCAAATCACAAGAGCCGCTGCCACAACGAGCGACTGGACTGCTTTCTAGGGCCTAAAGGGCCCAGTCGAGGATCGTCTCGGGTCTGGGATCCCTCCCTCCTTGAAGGCTCGGTAGAGGAGACTTCCTGTTCGTCCTGTCGCACCTCAAACCACCAAGTCTGGGTGCAACGGTTTCAGCGAGACGGGTACGGATTGGATTCATAGGTCGTCTTTTGACATACTTGGTCCAGCAAAGGCACACAGCATCCACAACCTACCGTGCGCAACAAAGCTACGATTGTGGATGGGCTATCTGGCCTGATCAGCCAGACATACCTGAGACACCTGCGACCTGGTTTGAGGCCCTTACTAAGTCCCCTGATAAACGTACCTTGCTTGTAGGCAGTAAATTCACGCACTATCGTTGACCCCTTACTGCCTTACTCCCTGGCTTTGAACGCACAAATTTACGCAAAACTCTGCACCGGCATTCACTGGTTCACGCTTTCGGCGTCTGCCTGTGACCAGCACAGTAGCTTCAGCAAACACAAGCGGCGCCACCACCGCAGCGAAGAGACCTCAGAGAACCGAGACACCTCTCAGTCATCTCCCACTGCAGTCTCTTAGCATTCCCATCCAAGACTGAGAACATCGAAATGGAGTGTTGGGCGGCGCTGATTTCATGAAAAGAATGAAGAGGCCCTTTTAGTTTTGAGTAGCAATTTGTCTGCTATCTAACAGTCCGGCATGGAATCTAACAGGAATGTTGAACCCACTCCAGCTGGCTTCCCTTTCGCATAAGGCTGGCGCATCTGGCAGCCATTTGCAAAGCTTTGTACAGTAGGTCACTTGACTCTTGGGCCAATGGCTTCAGCAGCAACTGGAGCTTTACGGATCATAATCTGAAGCCTTTGGGCTGGCTTAAATATCTACAGTGTATATGTATGTATATATATATATATATGTTGTGATTTCTCGTGAAACCTTGTTCACCTGCAGAAAGGTGATTGTGGAGAGCATTCATCCCTTGAATGCCGCTGCCTTTGCCGCTTCGAGGAAGGCTCACCGGAGGGCTTAGGTGTGGTGGATCGAGGACGATCCTTTCATTGGTCGTGGACGACCAGAGCCATAGGACGACTACGGAGGTTGCTGGAAAAGCAGCGTGCGGGGCTCGCTCGGTGAAGAGCTTGGTGAAGTGGGGGTGAAGCACCAGTGTGGGCAATCTACACTGGTAGCGGTGAAGGAAGAAGCACAACCCAATGGTGTTGTTTGTGAAATTGCATTGACCATGGAGGACTGAAAACAGTGTTTGGTCAAGAATCTCCGTGAACAAGAAATCTTCATAGCCTCCGCGGCCAAAAGACAGAGGGTCGAGGTAAAAATGAAAGACCTAACTCCAGAAGAAGTGATCCAATTTGACAAGGCCAAGGACAAAGAGCTGTCACAGTGGCTCTCGACCAAGACCATTCGTCGCATTTTGTGCAATCGGATCCCGGAGGGACAACTCCTGAAGGCTCGATGGGTCCTGACTTGGAAACCAGTTGACAGCATTGAGGCTGCATCACTTGGTGCGAACCGGAAAGCGAAAGCCCGCCTGGTCATTCTGGATTACATGGATCCCAACATTGAAAATCTATCTCGAGATTCCCCCACATGGGGAAAAGATAGCAGGATGTTGACACTGCAGTCATCGCGTCCCATCAATGGACCGTCAGGTCTTTTGACATCTCAACGGCCTTCCTCCGAGGGAGTCGTCAAGACTCTCGCATCCTAGGAGTAGAACCTCCCCCTGAATTGCGGAAAAAGTTGAACTTGAGAGACGGTGAAGTGCTGGAATTGCTGAAGAGTGCGTACGGCCTCGTGAACGCACCTTTACTGTGGCACAAGAGCTTAGGACTGCCTTGCTGAACCTCGGTTTTCTAAACTCCCCGTTAGACCCTTGTGTTTTTGCACTACCAAAGTACAATGCCAAGTCGCCCCAACCACCAGGTATTCATGTTATTTTGGGCATCCACGTAGACGACGGATTGGGCGGTGGAGATGAAATCTTTGCCCAAGTAATAGACCAGCTTCAGAAACGTTTTCCATTCGGGAGTCAGCGACAACAATCCTTCACCTTTACTGGTATACAAGTTGAGCAAGAATGTAATGGAGACATCAGAATGAACCAGGGTGAATACAGTATCGATAATTCCCGAGAGAGAAGAAAGGAACCACAGACACCAGCCACTGACAAAGAGATCCAAGCCCTAAGGGGGCTCATCAACAGCCTCCAGTACGCGGCATCCAACACACGGCCGGACCTTTCACGCAGACTAAGTTTGTTGCAGGCCAAGATTCTGAATGCCACGACAGGTGATCTCTTGACAGCCAACCGGCTTCTGGAAGACGCCAAGAAACATGCTGATGTCCAAATCCGGATCCAATCCATTCCCCCAGAACAAATCAGATTCATGTCATTCTCAGATGCTGCATTCGCCTCCCGAGATCGAGCCCATTCCCAGAGAGGAACGTTCATCCTGGCGACAACCTCAACCATTGACGATAGTAAAGAGTCCAAGTCAGCCCCCCTGGTCTGGCGCTCCAAGAAAATCGCTAGAGTTGTTTCGAGCACTCTTGCCTCAGAAACATATGCGTTGTCGGGGGCCCTAGATCAACTGAGTTGGGTCCGTTTACACTGGCATTGGATGAGAGATCTGACCACTGCATGGAACAAACCTGATGAAACCCTCACCAAAATTCATCGGCATATGCAGTTGTAGACTGTAAGAGCCTGTATGACCTCCTCCAGAAAACCACCATACCCCAGTGCAGTGAATATTGTACCTTGCTCGAAGCACTGGTGATCAAAGATAGACTAAATGAAGGGGTCCTAATTAAGTGGGTGCATAGTGCCGCACAAATGGCCGACACATTAACCAAAGAAATCGATACTAGCAACCTTCGTACATTTCTAAGAAATGGAAGATGCCTGCTCAAAGATGTTGATGTGATCTTGAAACAAAGGTCGGAACGACGCCTGAAACAGACTTGGATGCAGAATGCCGGCACGTCGGATGCCCATGTGTGTGCAGAGTACCAAGGGAAATAATCACCAGATTATACGGGGTACATCTCTTCAACAGGAGGTTGTTGTGTTGATGGCCTAATCGTGCACCATATGCATGCTGGATGCGACAGACATCCCAATGCTTGTTCATTTTTTAGTGTTTAAAGAACAAGAGTTTTTTTAGGAGTGTGATTTCTCGTGAAACCTTGTTCACCTCCAGACCGGTGATTGTGGAGGGCATTCATCCCTTGAATGCCGCTGCCTTTGCCGCCTCGAGGAAGGCTCACCGGAGGGCTTAGGTGTGGTGGATCGAGGACGATCTTTTCGTTGGCCGTGGACGAACAGAGCCATAGGACGACTACTGACTACGGAGGTTGCTGGAAAAGCAGCGTGCGGGGCGCGCTCGGTGAAGAGCTTGGTGAATCGGGGGTGAAGCACCAGTGTGGGCAATTGCAATCTACAATATATATATATATACAAAACCTCTTGAAGGCACACTCACAGTTTCTTGGCCCCCGTACCTGCATGGCCTTGCAAAGTGTGAAGGCACTTTCCAGTGTTCGCACACCAAATCCGCGCAGCTTCATCGCTTGACGAGCCCACCACCTCAAACACAGCAGCGACAGCGACTGCCGTCTGTAGACTTGAAGCAACAGAACACAACGATCTCGTAAACTGTCCAGATGGAACAGCAAACGCAGCAAGCTGTGTTCTGGACGCGGTGCCCGGCTGGGCAGAATTGACCAGTTGCCTTAGTTGTTTGTGTTTCCCAAAGACAAGAAATGAATGTGGAGAATGCATTTGTGAAAATTCTGCAAAAGCCTTTGAGTGCCAGATATCCTAAGCTATGCGGCAGCCGCGCCCTCAAGCTCTGCAACAGCTCGGCCAGTCTCGGCCTAGGCCATCAAGCCCACCAAGACCGCCTGTTCAACTTTCTTTGCGGGAGGGGTAGCCCGTAAGGAAGCTGCAAGAGCAAGTAAGTAGCAAATAAGCTTGTATAGAAGTTCAGGGTCTTCAGGGAAGCTTCTCCCGCCGGAGAACAGGAGAAGCTTCCTTGAACTCCTTGTACAAACGGTTCCTGGATTTTGACCGAATTGAGCTCATTGCTATTTGCTTGCAAAACCCGCGACAGAACCATCCCTTGAACCAGGCTCCTCACACACCAAATCTGGCCCTCACCACCGGCAGCAACTGTCAGTAATGACCGGCCGTCAGGCCTTGGGTCAGAGCTTCTTAGCCCATAAGAAAAACAATAGGTAAATCAGAACATGTATATAGTATATATATATATGTGTGTGTGCTGATTACTGTATAGAATTGCGTTCTAAAGAAGTGTCTAAAGAAGTGCTATAAAGAGTTCAAAGTTTCCCAACCTCAAAGCTGGTCTTTTTCATGATACTCAAAGTGGAGGAGCTGCTTGGCGTCTTTAAACTCTAAAGCTGTCTAGGAATCTGTACTGTAAAGTAGTTCAGGCTCTTCAAGCTCCTAACGCCAGAGATGCGGAAAGTACTGGCCCAAGGCTGTCCAAAGCCTCTTCAGGCTCAAACCAGCAAATTGGAATGGAAAGCAGGGTGCGAAGCACAAGCCCATGACAAACTAAAAGGAAAGTAAGAGTTGCGCTGAATGCAATTCTAGATAGCCCATGTCTGCTTCTGTTCATCCCTCGAGTTTGCTGATAGCCATCGTCTTTCTGTCAAGAGCCGTGGGCAGAAAACGTGAGAGTGTGCTTAGGGACGCTTCTGAATTCAACTGCGAATCGACAGCAAAAGAGCTTCTTTTCAGCGGACGTGGATCCCATTCTTCACCCGCCTGAAGACCCTAGATACCCTAAAACCCTGCGGCTTGCTTGGTGGCTCAGGAGCCTTGTGCCACTTGAAGTGGGCCGCCAGGCTTGCCAGCAGGAGCCCGCCAACCGCCGCAACCCCAAGGGTTAAAAAGGGAGGTTTTCTGGGCGGAGGTGGCAGGAAACTCCTTAGACTTCTTTCTGCTTCCACAGGTTCCGTCATCTGCGTGATGGGCACTTCAACAATTGCCTGCTGCAATTGCTGCACAAGGCTAGCTTCCCGTGCTTGCAGCCGGGCCACTTCCTTCTCAAATTTGGCTCTCTCCTGGCGTGCACAAAGTCAAACAGTGTGAAGTTCAAGCAGACTAGGAGAGCATACCTATCAAGCAGCACGGAAACTACTGACAAATCTCTGGAGAAACTTGGCAAGAGTATTTTAGAAATTCTGCAACATCAGGTTAGCATCAGTTTGCTTTGGCTGTCACCCCTTCTTTGTGTATGTGCGTTACACTACACACCCCCGCTCCCTCTTGTACCTTGTCCCCTCTCCTCTTCCCAAGATCTCTCTTGGATTGCCTGCTGGCCCTCAAGGGAGCGCTGACTCTTCTTCGAGGCATCCAGCTCCATGCGAAGGCCTTGACATTCCGACTCATTGGCAAAGGACTTTTGGAGGCGGTGCATCTCTTCCACATGAGCCTTGTGCTGGGCGTCCATCTTCAGCATGAACTGTTCTAAGCTTTTCTGTGTGGCAGCTGTCTTGGTCAGCTGTTGAAGCTGCCTGTCTTGTTCACTTAGCTGGGTGCCATAAATGGCCATCTTGGATTGCAGTGCCTGGAACTCTTGCGCGTGGGTCTGCATGGCCTGTTGCAGCTGCTCTGCTGCTTCAGATTGCCAAGCAGCCATATCAGCTCGATACTCACTGAGCGTGGACTGCACCTTTCCCACAGAAGTTTGTTGGCGTTCTTGCAGCTGACCGAAACTCCTACTCTGTTCTTCTTTGATGTTGTTGATTCCAGCCTGTGCTGCCTCCAAGAAAAGCTTTTGTTCTTGCGATGACTCTACGACCTCAGAGATCGTCTGGCTCAGCTCAGCCACTTTGGTGCCCAGCTCCGAAGGAAGCTCTTTGAGCTGTGAGAGGATCTCAAGAAGAACTGCAGTCAAGGATTGATGCATAGTGCTGCTCTGAGTGCTGAGACCTTGAAGATTGGTTTCTTGCTTTTCGAGAAAGCTGCTGACCTCTTGCAACTTTGAGGCACTCTCAAGCATTCGGCCTTTCAGCTCTTGAAAGAGCTCTGCTATGCCATCGGTTGAACGCTTTAAGTCACTCAAGCGTTTGTCAGGATCCTGGCCTTGAAGAGTTTCCTGTACTTGGAGTGACTGGGAGCGAAGTGACTCCACTGTCCTTGATTGCGACTCAACAAGCCGCTGCAAGTCAGCTACATGCTGACCTGTCTCTTCTCCTTTGGTGCGGAGACACTGCACAACGGCCATGTTGGCTTCAAAGCTCCGTTGGATGTCGCTGTTGCAGCTTGCTTCTTGAGTCCGGAGGGCCTCCAGAGATCTACCTTGGGTCTCTACCACGCGCTGCATCTCACCAACACGTTCCCCAAGATCTTGAGCACGGATTGCATCAATCAAACGGCCCTGCTGTCCCACCAGTCGACAGAGCTCTGGTAGCTGCTCCATATCAACCTTGAGACTCTCTAAAACCCGCTTCTTTGGCAGGGCATCAACTTTCAACTCCTCAAGTTGCGCCTGTGCCTCCTTTGATGTTTGCTGCAAGGCTTTCAACGAAGCATTCTGGCCCTCCAGCTCCCGAGTCAAAGCAGCTTTGAGTTCCTGCTGTCCTTCTTTCAACTCCGAATTGTGTGACTGATGCTCCTTGAATTTCTCTTGCAGCTGCGACAACTGCTGCAGCACTTCCCTTCTTTTTTGGGAAGCCTCGCCCTCCACCTCTTCAAGTCTACTTTGAAGGCGCGAGAGTTGATTCTTTGTCTCTACCGAAACCTGATCGCTGCTAGCAATGGCCGCAAAAATCTTTTGTGTGACAGACTCTTGTTGTTCCTTGATCTCTACCAACTGCTTCGTCATGTCACTCACCAGTGGTACTGGCGAATTGGACTCTCCATCGATGCTTCTGGCGGTATTCAGCCGGCTCAATGACAGGACTTCCGACGACTCAGCTGCGCCTTCCGTTTGGGAGCGCCTCAAGGAGCTGGTGGAAGCCACAGAGGCTATAGGAGGCCTTTGGAAGTTCTTCACTTGGCGTTCCTTGAAGGCTGCAAGCTTGGATGAGCGATCAGTTTTCAAACGATCCTCCACCGAGCCGACCACACCAAAAGAATCTTCGGAGCATCGGTCAGATGCTGTGGAAGCCAGGTCCGCCCGGTCTATCCGGAACGAACTAAGCGACATAAGCACCAAATCATCCCCCAGGGCCTTTAGGCCCTTGCTTGAACCCAAAGACAATGAACACTCTCTCCTAAGTAAATGTTGGTAATCCCAGCAATTTAGAGTGTCTCCTACTAGCTGGGCATCCTGTCAGCTTTGCAGGCAATTTCCATTTTGCCTCCTCCTCGCGGAAGCTGATGAAGGGATTGATGTCGTCAGTGGCCTCGACTAAAACTGAAGTCAGAAGTCCTTCTTGTTATAGCATGCATGTGCCGATGCTCTTGAAAAGCTCCACGCCTTCGTATTGAGATGCCAAAGCCGGACTGTTCCATCTAGTGACGCTGTCAAGCATCGCCTTGCTCAGGTCAGAAGACTCACAAGCCGCAACCGGACCGCCCTAGACAAATCAATGAGCCAGGATATACATTCAAAGCTGAGTCCAACATTGCTGAGGGCCATGCAGTGGGGAGCGAACTAGTTGCACTTGGTCACCATCTCTGATTCCTACCTGGTCAGAACTCCGCGTTGACGCCAAAAAAACAGAAACAGCTGCAGCTGTTCTTTTCGAGGTACAACGGGAAGGAAAAGATACATATCATGTCGGATTATTGAGCCAGCAAGCAAGCAGGTATGATAACATCCTGAGATGGCGGTTCAAAACATCGTATCACATCCCAAGGCCCTACTGCAGTTGCGAAAATATCTTGCTCAGCTAGTATGCTGCCTCTGACAGGGTCATGGATTCATCCATGAGCTCGTTGCAGCACAGGAAGTTGATGGAACACCTTGCAAGAAAATGTTCCTATGAAAGTGCAAGTGAGATCCTACTTATCTGCCCCGCACAAGACAGGAAAGCTTTTGCTGGGGTGTATCAAATGCAGAGATGTTGGTTGAAGCTTTGAGGATCCTCGGACTGAGGCAAGCCATCCTCTTCGGAATTGACAACTCCTTCAGACCTCGGCTCGAAAACTGTCAAAGTCTGCAAGGAGAAATTGAGAAGTTTCGTCTTCGCTCCCCTTCTGAGAACCGACAGGATCGCTTCCTTCAGGCGAAAGGCAGTGTCACCTTAGGATGTGATAAAAATGCCTTGCACCACGAGCTGGAAGCGATATCAGTTCCCGACAGGCGCACAGTTAACTTTTCTGAGGCCAGGGCATGGTCGGGCCCGCACCTAAAGATGGACACTTGAATCAATCTCGCTTCCATCAAACAAAGCTATTCGCAATCAAAAATTGGTTATATGATGTTTTAGGTGTCACAGGCATAGTGAGTTTCCAGCTATCCACGGCATTCGCATGAGGCCCGGACCACGGCGGCCAACTCTCCACTCATGCCGTTCACAATGTGAACTTTGACGTCTCGTGCTAACTCTCGTTCCAGCCTCAGATGCATCCACAAAGGTCCATTGAATAGATAGATATTCAGAGAATGTCATTGCAGAACATCACCAAAGAGACACCAAACTGGACCAGTTGTGGCAAGAAGCTCCTCCAACTTTGCCCGTACGTGTTCAAGCAGCTCAGAGCTTGCACCAGCCGCCTGGAGGCTGGTTATTAAAGAGTCCGGGTGTTTGTCAGAGTGCGCTGTTTTATGATTTTAAGTAGTGTTATAACATAATAGTTCTTTAAATCCGCCCGCACCGGAGGTGCCGAGGGCGTTGTGTAGGCTCGTGTCCACATCGCAAGGGAACAAACCCGGTTAGATACAGTAAATCCTAAGCTTTAGCTTGGGGGGGGGTGCATTTTTCTCCTAGAAATGCTATGCTTTTCAATGTGTTTTGAAAAATGATTAAAAGTGGACCAAATGTTTGCGATGCAGGTTATGCTAATCGGATTATATCGCATTCATGACATCGCAGACATCTCGGCAAGAGAAGGAGCATTGGACCAGACGTTGGCAATTCCGGTTATACCGGGCGGGACAGATTGCATTATCGACATCGCATACATCTCAGGGATAGCTAGACGTCTCTTATATACATTGTTAAAATCCCTTGCTCTTGTGATACTGCACCACAACCATTCTCTGCTTACTAGATATGTTTTTTTGCCATTCATCCTATTGATGTCCCCTGTCTGCTTGGGCCGCCAGATAGAGGAACCAAAAAAAATGAAAAACAACAAAAATATATTTCAGAACTCTTTCTGCAGAAGCCCCAAGTTCAAAGACCTCTGGAAAATTGTTTTCTTTTTTTTGGGAGACCCAAGATTCCCAAACCTCTGGAAATTTGTAGTCTTTTGTATTTATGAATACTCAAAGCATCTGGTCATATCTGAAATGTCTCTATCTGGGGCAAAATTTTCAGAAAAAAGCATCTGCAAATCAATGGAAAACCGCACTCTCAGGGACACCCGTTCTGTTATTAAATGGGGCAATCCATCCCAAGCGTTTATGTCTGCTCAGTGCATGTCTGCTTTAAGCTCCAAGGCAACAAAAATTCTTCGAACCGAACCGAACATGTCTCGGAACACACTGTAAAAGGCCTCCGCTCGCAGCACAGCTTGCCGCAACTGATCCAACTCTGGCGAGGGTGGCAGCTGCTCATCATCTGGCAAGATTACGATGGTATGTCATCAGTTTCTACCAGAAAACATCGTGAATCCAACAAGCACGGCTGCCATCCCCGCTAAAGGGAGGAAGCACCAGTGTCTCTTTCCGTCGCAACACGGGGAAGCTCAAACCACGCGTTAGAAAATTGAAAAATTTGTTGGAGGCAATTAGGAAGCTCCCCTCCATAGAAGGCACCTTCAGCGCTAGGCTCTGAAGGTGTGGAAGAAAAGATGTTGAGCAGCATGCTAATCGTTGAACCTTGCTGAACCGGAGCTTTGTTGAAAGAGACCCCCAAATCTCGTGCGGTTGTCAAACCTTGGTATAACAGCATATGCTGAGGCCCAAGCGAGCTTGACTTATCTCGGAGCTTCCCTCACTACCTACGGTGCCAGAGATGCAGTGTTTGGAGGCAAATGCCAATGCAAAGTCAAGATACGCATTCATTTGCAATTCGCGACATCAGGCTGACAGGTCCTTGTGTGACTCTTGGTTTATATCCAATTTATTCTTAGCAGCAGGCTGGCCGGTGCAGCCCAAGATTCCTCCTCAGCATGCGTTTCTTGTTGAGCAATCTGCAAACTGGTAAAATCAACGGCAAAGTGCACAATAGATTAGACGACAGGAGCATCCCTAGTCCTGTTACCTGGGAAAAGTTGATCCCCAAAGGTCTCGGTCAGAAGCTAGTACAAGATCATGCCACATTCGAGTGGCACCATGTTGAACCATGGAGTAGATGGTAGTGCATGGGGCGGACGGCGACCCCTATGGGTCGATGCACTGAAGCCAGTGGACCCTTGGGACAACACAAAAAGGAAGCAAACGTGGCGGGCATGGGATGAATGGAAGGTGTGTTGGTCAGCTGTCAAAATGCCTGATGTCACCTAGGACCTAGATAGCAGAGACAGAACAACCAGAGACACGTTGGCAAACCGCAGAAGAGGTGGTCGTTGGAACACTCTCGAGAGTGCCAGGACTTGATGATAAGGGATTGTCGATGTTTCCCCCCCTTTCCTTAGTACCTTTGTAATGGAGAGCGTTGCTGATCGCAGGGCGTTTGTTTGCTACGTGCAGCCATGCAGAAGAATTGCCATGAAAAGGTGCTTGTACTGAAAGGTAAGTAAACAGCCAAGCTGTTGTCCTTAAACCAACGAGGTGAAAATCACCCAAAGATGCACGATGGCATCACTATTTACTATAGACTATATACTATTTTTCAGTAAGCTCCAAAAAGACAGTGTATGAAACAAAATACATCTTCATGTGAGCTGAGGAAGGAACCTCTTCCTCGCCCGGTGCCCACCCGCGAGCAGATGCGGCCTCAGCAAAAATGCAGCAAGCGACAGGACAGCACCAAATGAGGCTTACCCAAAGCAGCAAACAAGCCTTCAAATGAAGAACTCTGTGAAGGTTTACTGAAAGTACAAAGAAAGTGTCAGCTTGGCTTGGCATCGAACCAATCGCCACGCATCACTTGGATCCTGGCACAAAATCAGTTCTGCTTTGAGGCATTACTCAATTCTGTCGGCTGCAGGCGAGACAAACCGCGCCATCAAGCTGCTAGGTACAACCCCAAGTGCCCAATTTGGAAAGGCGTGTTCTTGCTTTTTGCTTGCTCTCGGTCTTGTAGTGCGTTTATCGGTTCTTGGCATTCTGCAGCATCCCTTGGGTCTGAACATGAGGTGTATGCCAAACAACAAGCGGGTTGTTGTCACGGTTTCAAGCTTGTCTGCTAGGTGGGGGCATCACTCTTCCTGGCCCACACGCCTCACCGCTGATGGAATCCTGGATTGAGGCTTAGTCTAGCTTGACACTTGCGATGCAGAGTGCGAAAGGGATCCTTTGCCAAAAGGCTGCTTCAGGCCTCTGGTGACCAGCCACGTGCACTCGCCGCCTCAAAATTCTGGCCCCTTGAACGAACACAGAGGACAAAAGGAAACAAAATAGCCTTCTTTCTTTCAGGAAAAACTTCAGGAAAGAAGGAAAAAAATTCTTTGAACACAGATCACGAGATGCTGACCAAATTCCACACTTCTCGGTGTTTTTCCTTGTTCTTTTCGTTGCAGCCTCGGTCCTGCTATGCTTGAAATCGTCTTAAGACACTAAACAATTTTAACAAAAAAGGTGATGAATGGTCGACAAGCGTTTCCAATCTTTGCTGGACTCTGGAATCCTTCTCCTTGTTCTTTTCATTGGATCGGTCCTGGTGGATATGTCAAGCGAAAGCTTTGATATTCGAGAGGCAGCCATAGCTCTAGCACCGGATCTGAAAAATTTGGGGTTTGGAGCTACGAGAATGCTTAGTTCGGCCGAATGAGGGGGATTGAAAGAAACCTGCGATGTGACAGAGATCTCCGTCCTTCTCATCGCTACCTGCAAGCCACGCTGTGGCTGATGCATCTGACTGAAACAAATCTTGGCGAATGATGGGGATGGTATCCCCACAAGAGTCTTTGGCCTTGAGACTTCTCGCCTTGGATCATCTCAATGTTTTTGCCAAAAAATGAAAAAGTGTTTGACATGAATCATGAAGAAAAAGTGTTTGACATCTTGGTGGAATCTTCTATCTCTAGTTTTAAGGAACAAAGAGCTGACAAACTAAGGTAGCGAGGAACAGCAAGTTTCGCCACCCCTGGGCATCTGTGCCATTGTCATTGCCATCTCTTGCCTCCTGCAAAAACAACGGACGTAAACAAGTGGCACTTCAACCAAAACCGCTGCACAATACAACGAGAATCTTAGTGAGGCAAGGATTCAATCAAGCATGCATCCGACAATGAACATGCGAGTTCTACGCAGTATCCTATGAAATCAGAAAAACAAGAAGGCAACCAACTCTTCCAATTGGGCCTCGCAGGCTACTTGTGTGTCTCCACGCGATGTGAAGATCCCTATCAGCATGCCAACCTTGTTTGAGCGCGATATCTCAATCGAGAGTATTAAACTTTTGAAATATGAATTGTGTGTTCAGTTTCTGTCATATCACTTAACAGCCGCCTTTTCATCAAATCCACTCAAAAGAACTGAAACAGACTAAGGTATGCTCAGCTTGCGCCATGGTGCCTTGGGGAGTAGCACATTAGGCCACGGAGAAAGAGTGGCACTTTGATGGACAACAAACACAAAAAAGAAATGTTTATAGTCTATATATATACAGTATATATTATATTCCTATAGCCCTTTGCACTGAAAACAATGTGAGAAGTGGTTAAAGACGAGTTTTCCCTTTTTCCCTTCCCCACACAAAAGTGTTTGCGATTTCCCACGCAAATGAAATGAGTGGATAAGTCCATCATCAACAATCCCAAAAAAATATCTATACACACCCCGGCCGTTTTGAACTTCTCACACACACCAATCGCACAGAGAACGTGTGTTGCCATGGACAATGCGTTAGTTCCAGAAAAGTGGCACCCTGCACTTGCGGCAGGCCAAAGATTGGTGAAACAGCAAGCTGCGCTGACTTCAAAGATAGAAAATATGGTATCCAAATCACTTTGCCCTAGCAAACTTGCCAGTCATTGGGACAACACCGGATGACTGTGATGGGCATGCGCCACGAGTTGTTCATGAAAGCCCAAGCTAGCTGATCCTGGAGCCACGGATAAGGATTCATGCAAATGTGCAAGCACAACACACCAGTCTGTATCATTGCACCACCTCCATTGCCTGTAAAAGAAACGTTTGTTTGAACTTGCACATGCTACTGTTCCTTCAGTGGCTTGCAAACATGGGGTGGTGTTAGGTAGCTTCATCGGTCGTTTTCATCTTCAACCCTGAGCCACTGCGCGGTATGTGTACAAATGTAAAATGTTCAACACGTTGCCTTAAGTTTTCCGGTTTCACCGTGCGATTTTCTCTTTGTTTTCTACAAATCTGTTTCGTTGAAGATATGCGCGTCACCATTTTTGCCTCTTGCATGCCAACCGCAACTATCATCTTCACCGCACTCAATTTTCTTGAAAAGCCAATGATATGTCCTGTCGTAGATGTCATGCACCAAGCGGAAGGCAATCTCACAAAATCGTTGTTTTTTCCACACGTGGTCTCGAGCCGCTTGTAGGCGTGTGCACACACTGATAAAAACAGATACTACACCGTCCTTCTCAACTGAACATGTGTGTGTCATTCTTGCTGCAGGGGACCATGCTATCTTTCGTCACCCCGCCTTAGGAACATCCAGCTTCATGGGTGTTCGTACTTTTCCATTTTCTCTGTGAAACTCCAAGTGGCTTCGCTCTCTCAGTCCTGCAAGTCATTCTCCTCATCAATTCGACCATTTTGGTCATTGGTGTCTCCCCCATCTTGCTCATCCTCGTTCTCTTCATTCTCATTCTGTACGTTCATTGGGCCGTAGTGCATCTCTGCCCATAGATCTGGGTCCTCACTCATCTCATTTTTTCGTCTCCTTCACCATCACTCGAAGGGGTTCCACCTCCTGGACTTGTCTCGTTGTCCGTGCAAACCCGCCCGCACCGAAGGTGCTCAGGGCGTTGTAGAGGCTCGCGTCAACAGCAACCGCAAGAAATCTGCTAGATTAAATCCTAAGCTTTAGCTTGGGGGGGGGGGCCTACTTTGAGTTACGATGGAGAAAAATAGGACCAAACGGTCGCGATGCCGGTTATATTCCGGCCGGTTGGAGATCGCATTATCGACATCGCGGGCTCTCGAACAGAAGATTGGTCTCAAGGAAAGAGATGATTCATATCGTGTGCGTGTGGGGTTTGGTGGAGAGGTTGGGTAGGCTTTCCGACAGAAGATTGGTTTCAAGGAAAGAGGCGATTCATATCGTGCGCGTGGTCTTGGTGGCGCCAGCGACTTGGCGTCTGTTTATACATAGTCATCGATCTTGCGCATCTCGTGCAAAAGTTTAATGCCGAATGTAGAGGTTTCTTCCCGGCTCCGAGAGCACAAGTTGCTAATGACACACTTTTCCCATGCATGTCTGGAATGTCTGTCTGCGTGTATACATGACTGATGTCATGTCTGTATCACCCCACAAATTTTCCCTTTGACCTGCGCGGGCGGCTTCGACCTCAAAGTGCTTCTTGCAGCTCTGATGTCTCTTCTCTCTGGATCCCTCTTGTACTCAAGCTCTCTGATGCGCTCGTTGAGGTTCCTGCAAGCCAAACTCAAGGAAACTTCTGGTCCAATGTCTTCCTGGATAAGGCGATTCCTCATCACCTGGAACTCTCGTTCGTCGATTGGAATGCCTGTCACACCCCATTGCGACGTTGACCTCATCGAGCCCATGTCGTGCCTGTATTTGTCTCATTGCCATCTCCTATATCACATGGATGTATGAAAAATATTCAACGCTGTTGCCGGAGCGGCTACCGGATCCTCTGTCGGTGAACTTGCCGTTGGATTAGGGCCCGGATGTCTATCTGCTGAACTCGGCCCTTCATTCAACTCTTCTTGAACTTCCTCCTCTACTTTTTCACCTTCTACTTCCACTTCCCTGTATCCTTCTTCATGCAGTGCCTCCATCTTGTGTGTTCTTTCTTCACGAAGTACTGCTGAAGGCCTCACTGTTGCTTCCTGATCTCCATTCTCACACGCAGATCTTCGTCCTGCAAAGTCTCCATTGCTCTTGTTGGTGGTTCGTCTTCTTGGAGTGTCACGTTGATCTGAGCTTCCGTGGCCTGAGCTTCTCCCCCAAATGTAGCCATCTTCATCAACTCTCGAGCCACCATAGTCATGCCATCGGTCTTCTTCTTCTTCACGCTCGTCGTCACCATCACCTCCATCTGGAGGGTTCTTCTTCGTCAAGCCTCAATGGATCTTCACTTCGCTTCAAAGCCAGTTCTCTTCTGATCTCCCTCCAAGAAATCCTGCACCTTGCCAGCTGAATCCTCACGCTGCGCACCCTGTACACCATCAACGCTCTCACGAAGAGTAAAGTCAACACTGTTGTGCACAACATGCAAATGCTCCACATGCTGCTGACCACCGTCGTCTTCATTCCATCACAGGTGTCATCAAATTCACTGCACCCTTTCAACATGCCTGAGACCAGCAACATCTGCACAATTCGCTGAACGCTTGGAAGGTTCACTTGCGCGAAGCTGTCACTATAGAGTCCAATAAGTCGAGCTAGGTACTCCCCTGGACAGCGACTTCGTGTTCAAGACTGCAGGGCTATCCCTCGTCGCAATCCTGCCAATCTTGTACCAGCCTCTCTTCATTGCTTCTTGGCCCCACAAAATGCGGGTGCAAAAATGTTTTGCTCTCCCTGGGCCCAATCTCTGAAAGAATGCTTGGGCTGAAGTCGAATCCAGGTGGAGTTTGCTCTCTACTCGGCTACCATCTCCTAATCCTGCTTGCACCCCAGGAAGAACAGAAGCGCCTGCTTCAAGGAAATGCCCTCGCCAAAAGGCTCGTGGCTGCCAGCACTTCTGCCTCCGTCGATGAGAGTGCGATTGAAGCTTGCCCCCTTGAATGGGAATGGATGCAATTCCCACTGTGGAACACCAAACCTGAGCTCGTGCTCTTCCTGCTCGAACGTGACGATGCCCAATCGCTGTCACTGAACAACTCCAAGCAATGCTCACGTCCTCCTCTTCTAATTCTGGTGTTCTCAACACTCAAGTGCTTCCACCTGCAAAACATACTTGTTTGGCCTTCACTTCTCTCACCCCTCAAAGCCATGTCCTGCGTCGGCTGCAAATAGGTCGTCAGCTTCTTAATTGCTGCCACTGCTGTCTGGGTCGGATTGGCCATGTATGAGGCCAGCAACCTCACACTGTGTTGGATGTCAATTGTCTCCGGACTCAAGCACAAGCACAGCCCAATGCGCTCCTGAACAACTTGCTGCCTTCGGTTCAAGGAGCTCATCCTCTGCTACTGTCGAAGGATCGAAGACATCCAGGCTTGAGTGGGACGCCACGCCACGTCCCCACCTGTCTTGGACTTTCAACATGCTCACCAGCTAGACACGTACTTGTTGCTTGCTGCAACTTCAAGGCCTTCTGCATCAAATGTCAATCTCCCCTTGAGGTAGAAAAGCGTCCCTGGTGCCGACATCCCATATGGTCCATCAGCTTTCAACTTCAAGATCTTTGCGAAGTGGTCGATGAACTTGTAGTGTTTCTCTTCTTCTGCCACCAGGATGAAACCGTCTATGTGCACAGAAAGGAACTGATTTCACTCTTGTGCTTGAAAAGGGTTCGTCCCTGAAAGAATGGAAGGAAAACTCTGCGCACAGACCACTGACATGCTTGTTCCATTCCAAAGCGGCATTTCTCTGACCGGGCACACACCTGAGCAACTTCCAGAACGTCAAACCTGGTCGATTCAAAGTCTCTCTAATCCAGCTTTCACGACAAAATCTTTCTGCGCCACCTGAAGGAATGCGTCAGAAATGTCCATGACTGAAACCATCAGGTTCAGAGTCACGCTCAATGACAACAGCAACTTGATTGAATGCACGTGGACTGGTTGGACTGAAAGTGTGAACACTTGAAGCGGCTCCATTCCTGAGTTCTCTGGCCACAATCTGGCTCGGCGAGTCCAACACTCATCATTCCGGTTCCAGTCAAACACAATTTGAGCATCAAACTTGATGGCATTCTCGACGTCTTCTGAGCCCAAGTTGCGATCACGGTCAAATCATCAAGCCTTCACTCTTCTGTCAGGTTCTTCAGAGCTGACCTGCACCGGTCCTCCGCCATCATTGAAAGAGTCTCACTTCTCCATCTCCTCCTTGGTCAACAGAGCATCTGACTGCGTTGCTTGCGACTGCTGGATGGCATTGCAGTCTTCACCTTCAACTTCCTCTTCTTCTTCAACACACAACTCCAACTCTTCCGCGGCATTGACTCTCCTCATGAGGTGTGGAAGATGTTGTCGTTTTAGAGCTTGGTTCCAGCATGCATATCGAAGCACCAACATGTCGATGTGCAGCCAACTAGCATGTTCAAGACAGGATCCCAGGCGAGGACCTCAAGTCCTTGTCCTAGGGGGGAGAAGGTGGACTTTACCACTGGCCCTCGCTCTCTCACAATTTTCGTCGGATCCTGCAAGTGCCCAGAACAGGCTAGAAAGCAACCATACATT